CCGTTGCTCTTCGACCACTTCGGGTCTTGGCACGTTTCAAAACCCACCATTTCCAACGATCACTAAAGAGTGGGGAATCATTCGTATTCTTCCTCGTGGGTGAGGAGTGGCGGAACCCCACAGCATGATCCGACGCTGCTTGCTCACTGAGGAAGTCGAGGGCGAACAGCGAAGCTGGACTGTTGCATTTGACGATCTTAGCACATGAGTTTCGATAACCCTGAGGATCCATCGGCTGTCAGTACGGGATATTCCTCAAATGCGCTTGATAGCCATCTTCCCATAACCTTGATAGCTAGACGATCCGCTCCAGCATTTAATAATGCTGTCGCCCCTCCAATACGCACAGAATGGGTCGAATAACGGGTCGGGTCCATGCCGCATGCTGCGACAGCCATTTTGATTGTTGTAGCCAATTCCTTCGCTGAAATTCCAGTTCCGTAGCCTGTCGAGAGTGCCGGTTGCTCCGGTGTAGTGCCAAAAGCTCTGGCGCCTTTGATTACCCACCGAGCGGCTAACACTGGGCAGATAACCGCGTCACCGGACCTGTCGTGGTATCTGACCTCTTCACGACCAAATTGGTTATTTTTCGCCCCCATCAGAGTAATTCCCACTCTTTTGGCTCTACTCGCCTTACAGGGACCGGTTGCCTCGTCGTATAACGAAATGCCATTCAGTTTCAGCACGTATGCGTGATGTTGATTTCCGATGAACAGATACTTAGATCTGCGAAGGAGAAAAAAATATCCAAGAAGTAAACCACCCCAAAGCAAGCGAACGCGAGCATTCTTGAGGTCCAATTTGCGAAATATCTCGTGCAGCAAGTGGGCCGATAGTGGATACTGCTTGGTGACGGGCGAAGTGAACCGACGAATTCCACGTAGCAAGATAGCATGACTTGCATCCACACCTGGGTCGTATCCGACATTGTTGCGATGGTACCATCTGACGGCACACAACTTGGCGCAAATTGTTGAGTACTTGTTACCGGTTCCAGTTTTATTCATTCCAAATCGCCACAGATATACCGCAAAAGCACCCAGTTGTGACGCGTTAGCATTTAAGTCGGTGCCCGAGAGCCAGCGGGGGTACTGCATCCAGTCGCACCAGGTTGTCCATTGATGCCAGTATCGCTGGTAATGCTTTCGAGACGAGTCCGCCAGGGCACCTGCTCGCAAAAACGCTCCCAAACTTGCGAGAGATTCCTTGAGTCACTCGGAAGCTCGACCTGTGTCCACCCAGACGCAAGATTAGTAAATGTTAGACGATGTTGCGCCGATTGCCACACCCTTGATCCAGCGTCTGCCATAGTATTGATTGACCCTGCTATATGAGAAGCTGTTGCGAAAAAGAAATGCTTTACTTCCAGCAGGGCGATAATTCGTAGGAGTCGTTGCGCTTCCTGGTTTCGACTGCAGCGGCGATTGTGCCACGCAATTGCGGAGGTGTTGTCGATCCAAAAGCATACATGACGAAGGTCTTTGCTTGAAGAACCGCCCCAGCAACCACTCCAGACGATAGATGCAAAGACGGCACTCATCAGCTCCCTCAAGTTGATATTGTAGTCACCTTGCCCGGTTAATCGAAATTCTGCTATACTCATCAATTCTTGACTGTTAAATTGCACTTGAATGAACTCCCGACGGGATGGAAAAAGGGCGCACAGACCGATATCACTTGCATCCATGAAAATATCTTAGTCGACCGGTTGAGAACCAGAGAATCGCGATAACGGCACGGCATTAAATTCCGCGTGGAGCAAAATCGACCGAAACCAATAGAGATCATCCCGAGCTGCTGAGGTGACCGGAATTGCTGAGTATCGGCGATGGCCCCAGGTCAGAGATGATAACTGCTGAAAGAAGGGTCTGGCGGATGGAATGCAGGTAGCTACATGGCGGAGGCTCCCTAAGAGCTTCTGAATACACTGCCGCGTTGTATTTTTCTGATCCAACATGTCGTCGATGCGGGTCAACGCCTTAGTAATCTTTTCCGAAGGCATCGACAGTAACGAACAGGGAATATTCCACAATAGGCCAAGCATTTTGCCCTTCGTATCCCACTGAGTAAACTTGTCTTCATTTACAGCTTCTGGGCCGAGGATTGTAGTCATAGAACGCCGAAGGGCGAGCTCCGCCTCAGCTAGTCTGGAGCCGATGTCCGGTTCGATCAGATTATGGTCGTCGCACCATGTCTTGGCGTCAAAATTATGAGAGCCTTCGGGTGGCTGATACAGCCATTTTGGAGAAGAAGAAGAGTACAAATGACTTATAGCTGCGCCTGCTGTCCAATAGTGCTGCGGTGAGAGTGTCCAGCCGAACGGACAACACAAATCCACAACCAGAATGCCCAATTCGGGAATAGTGCCCGCAAAACGACCCACATAACCAGCATGGATAGCAATATGCCTGAAGGCCCCTGCTACGTCGCCCGACATCAACTTGGTGATTCCAGGGAATTCTTTCTCCACCTCCAAGATCCGTGTAGCTAACTTGTCAGGACCATCGTAGACTACAACAACCGAGCTGTCGAGGTCTGTGTTATCGTTAACAGAACTTCCTTCGTGATAGGAAAGATCATGTATCACCCGAGCGTCTTCCGACAGCGGCGTCGTTCCTTTTTGCACTGCTCCGAACGGGCTACACGTAATGTTTTCCAGCATCGACAGCAGATCCACGTCAAGCACTAAGTACTGGCCCGCATCTTGTCCTTTCCGAATTTGTTTGACCAGAGAATTTAATGCCAATCGAGCAGAGGTGTGGTTTTTGGGCGGCTTGGTCTGCACTTGAAACGTAGTCTTCCACTTGGGCCGCACTCCATGCTGAACGATGTCTTCCCACTCCCGTCGATATCGATACGACTTCCACTCTGGCGTTAATGGCGGTATTTCAAGAGCTTTATTGGGACGTGAGTCATACGCATTCTCGCCACGGAGAAGACGAACGAATTCGGGCAGTTGCATCCTTGTTTTCCGCAGAAAGGTAGAGAATACTCGTTGCTTCTCTGAGTCGATACAATGCCTTTGTTGGTCATTTACAATTCCAGGAGAAGGCGGTGAATCTGATAATGAGAGCCCGACATCCGCCAAAGCTTGACTCAACCCAGCGAAATTTTTCTCACGACTGAGAGAGAGAAGGCGATGCCTTACGTTTAGCGTCTGCAAGTACGCTCGCTGTTCGTGTCGTACAAAGTCCGCACTACCTGAAGCAAAATCCGCGTTCCGTTCATCAGATCCACCAGTTTCTACTTTATCGCTCTCAGGGAAGCGTGATCCTTCCGTTGATGGAGGCCCTTGTCGGATGGTTACGGCTTGACTAGTCTGAAATTGTAGTGAGCGAAGTTCGCCTGTGCAGCTTGCGACTGCTCCATCGGCTCCGACCCACCCTGACCTATAGTCATGGGGTGGGGACTCACTGTTGCCAATGGGACCGATCGCCCCTCCTCTGGCCTTAAGTTGTTCACGAAGAGAGACTTCGAATTTGCTTCGAACTGTGCTCACTTCCTCGTGGCTCAAACGCGATGACTTCTCATCCGAACGGACCATTTTGTACCCTGCTGCCATTTTCCGAACGATTTCTTCAGGTGGTTTTCTTCTCTGCCGGAGTGTGCACGAACCTTCTTGCACACTCTGGCGTCTTCATTTATCCGACTGTTCTCGTGTGATTGAAGCGAAGTCTTTACGAAGGCCACCGTAGTGGTTTGAGATAAAATCGAACACGATGCTGGGTAGCGTAGCTGGGGCAAAATGACCTCGTTTCCGGGTGAAGCAACCCTTCTGTCTGCTGGGGCATGGCGTATTCGACAAGAATCGCATGCACAAACTTTGACCGTTCATCGTCGGTAGTGCCTCCAACACTTCCTGTGGAACTGGAGGTCGAGGCTGTGCCGGTGTCTTTCCTCTGCTGGTTCGCGAGTTACTGGTCGACGAAGCCATCGCAGCTTGGTTGCTGAGAAGTTGAGCAGGTGGAAGTACTTGTAGTGCGGACATTCTAATCTCGGTAATAATCTGCATTAACCGAACGAACGAAGGCTCTGCAAATGAGAATTCGAAGTGAACCTGCTGCGCTTTAGACATATCACAGAGAGCCAG